TATCTTAATTCAACATCGAGGTCGCAATCATTTTTTTCTATAAGATCTATATATTTCTTAAAATAGTTTTAAATTTACATTGCCACATTAAAAGTTGAAGTTTTCGTTTTCTAAAATGAAAATATAATAAATTTCAATAAATTGTATAATTTTCCTAATTATACAAAACATTTTTAGCTTAGTTTTTTAATTAAATTGTATTTAAAATTTATTTTGAAAGACTTCTTTTCCTTTTTTTTTTGTATTATTTATATATTATTATCCGTTGTTTTTAGAAGCAATTGTGTGTATATTTCTTCATTTCGTTTTTAAAAATAAGTAAATTCCAAGAAATAAATACTAAGTTTATCATCTTTGTGTATATCATTATTAAATGAGAATATCTTGAAATGTACTCGGAAAAAGTATCAAATATGTAATTAGTAATGTTTTTTATTTATTAAATGTTTTAAATCGAAAAATTATGAATTGAAAAATTTTTTAAATTCACCAAATACTTATACGTCTAATATTCAACTCATGTAGCATGTATTTAACATAATTATTTTCTTGCTATAGTAAGATCATTAGTTCTTGAAATCTTATAATAATAATAATATTTAAAAATATTAAAAAATCGTTAGTTGAAGAAAACAAAAGAAATTCAACTTTATTTGAAAATATTTGTTAAATATTTAAATTCAAAATAATACAACTCCATTATTGTAACACCTATAATACACATTTTATTTATTAAAATCGTATATTTCAATTATTATACAACTTTTAAGTTTTTCTGTGAAGGAAAATATGAAGAGGAATGAAATTCAAATTTGAAATAAAAATAAAACGATGCAAAGTAGCGTGCTATTGTTATTGAGTGTTGCAAAGGAAAATCCTATTTTTTAGAAATATAAATGTACAAACAGAGTCGATAAATTTAAAGAGAGAACATAGGGTTAAGCCAACGTGGGTGGCCTTGTCATTTAAAAGGGAAACTAAATGTCGTATATTAGTTCGCGTTCTCTAGACCAAAGTGCTCGATAATAGTTACTCTAGCTGAACATATAATATAACAGCCAAGTATATTGCGTGTATGATAGTGAGTAACTAAACCAAGCGTATAGTGATTCTAAAACTGAACCGACTTTGTATTTTGTACTTAAACAAACATCAACTATTTTATTATATTAAATTGATATTAGATTTTATTATATTAAATTAAATTGATTAATATAATAATTATAATTAAATTTAAAATTATAACAGAAAGTTAAATTAGATTGTAAATTATTATTGAATAACAAATTTTATTTAGAATTTTGAATTAGACTGATCTTACTAGAAAAATTTTAATGAATGGAAATTTTATTATAGAGGAAGATCTTTGTACCATTTTTAATATTCCATGTGAAATGTGTAATTTTACTACAGAAGGGGCTTTTCATATTAATTTTTAAATCGTGATACAATTTTAGATTGTTTTAAAGTATTATAAATTTAATTTTAAGTATTTTATGTTTTATATGAAACATATGAAAAATATTTGCAATTTTAATTTGTGTAATTAAAATAATAAATAAATATTTTCATTAGAAAATGTGTGAAAAAACTTAAATTTACACCTATATAAACTTAAGTTTCTTTTTATTTTTAACCTTCTGTAATTTGTTTATTTTTGTTTGGAAGATAATTATTAATTGCTCTTTCAAGTGTTTACTTTAATGTAATAATTCAGTAATGAAATAAAGGATCAGAGAAAACAAAATAATATAACTGCTCTGCATCCTAAAATTGCTAGTATATGTAGTCATTATTTCAATAAAAATTGGAATTAAATTTGTCAAAAGCAATTGTTAAAACGAAAAATTTGAAATCCATTATTTTTTAGGATTTCATAGCATATATTTAGCATGTATTTAACTTTTATGTCACAGAATTGATATATTTCTTATATTTTATAATTTTATATACATATAACAATATTATATTTATTATAGTATAAAACAGTATTATTATTGTTATTATATTATAATATTATTAGAGTATTATAATTAGTAATAATAATAATAATAAAAATAGTATATAATATCGTAGATAATATAGTATCATATACAATATATAGCAATATTATTGACAATTAATAATAATTAATAAATATTAAAATAATATATATTTTGTTAAATTATATTTAACGATCCATACTTTATTTTATAAATAAGTAATTTGCAAGTACTACAAACATTATAATATTTTAATATTTTTTATTAAAAATTAAAGTAATTATGATTCTCTTGTCACATTTTTAACTAACAATGAACAACAAACAATTCAAAAGTCGAGCTACGTATTCCGAACAATGCACGAAAGTTCACAGAAACTTCTTCTCAGGAATTACGTTAACTGATATAAAAATCGCAGGCCAATCGAACCGCGCGTGAATTAATGTCTTCGATAACGCACCCGGTTATCTTAACGCTCTCATAAATTTCGAAACGTCACAAAGAAGCGATTGCGTGGCTCCTACTCAAGCGCAGTACCGGATATCTACATATATCGCGGGGCATAAAGAAGCATCTTCGTTGCTCTCGGCTGTGCCGCGGTATATAAAATACACTTATGTGCATCGTTCGATATCTATTACGTCTTCCGCGTTAATTGATTCGACGATCATGGAAAAATGCTAGAAATAGGAAGTACGATATTATTCACTCGCATCATTTTTTCAATTTCGGTAAATCAGCGGCGAGACATTAACTTCTCAGAAATGTGATGAAAAAGCATAAATCAATATAAAGCTTAGCTTCTTCTCCCTTTTCGAGTATTATTAAAAACTTGTTCTTGTATTTGTAATTTTTAAATAAAATAGATATTATTTTTAATTTTTTTTTTTTTAGAGAGATATCGTCAGGAGCTTTGTGGCAACGTTTTAAATTTAGATCTTGTTTTTCTGTAATTTTATTTTTATATCAAATATTGCATTTTCTTATAGTTATTTCATATTTTCTTATTTTGTTACAAGGCAGATAAAGTAAAGAAGAACGTAATTATTCTCAAAGAAGATTGTTTTCGGAATGAAATGCGTAAATAATTGAAGGAATGAAATTATTCCACTAAAAAATTCTTTTTTAAATATGTTCGATATGGATGTATTTTAATTTTCTCGCAATGTCATTCGAAAAATCGCTTACACTATATTAATTTGAATTTATAAATCTTTGACTTTTCGGCTCATTATTTTTGTATTTACTTTCGTATTATATACGTACAATTATATTTGGAAAGCTTAGATGCTTATCGGCATAATTTATTTTTCATTAAAAATGTCTTGTGCTATGCAAATATCTTTTTGTTGATAAAACCCTTAGTTGATAGTTTAGCAATGATCATTATAATAACATAATGATTAAACTGTATATTATAATGATTATTGATTGAAGATTTCGTCAACAAAAGGCTATTTTCATGACACAAGTCGCTTTTTAATGATAGATAACTTGCAATTGTTTTCCAGCTCGAAATTAATTTTAAAATTAAAATTTATCTGTATTTGTTAATGTTTAGTCTCGTATGAATTGAAAATCAAATTATGGAAAGTAAATTGATTTCGTTGAAAGTTTATCAGAATTTTTCGAATATGACTATAAGACTAGAAAAATGATTATTTCTACATTTGAAGCAAAAAGGTTATACCAATATAGCATTTTTATTTATTAAATTATATTTTATATACGGCAGATAAACTATAGAAAAAATTCATGTTATGAATTTTAATATTAAATTCATTTATTTTTCAAGTTATTTTTTTGTTAAAAATCTGTTAGTATCAATAAATCAGTTCGAAAATCGTTCTTCTTATCTCATTCATATTTCATATTTCTCATTGTTAGACCCAAGTTTTTATTAGACTGTTATAATAAACGTGAGGTGAAAAGGAAAGTTTGTCAACCATTGACACTGATACATTTCTAGAATACTATCTATTATAATTTAAGAAACAAGTTTCAAGTGACATTTTTATTTATGTGTCATTTTCATTGTTTTGATCTTGGAATATAAACTTTATAAATACTTCCACATATTTTGTAACATAATAATTAAATAGATATGCGTATTATCTAATTCGTATAATCTGTCTTTTAATTTATCAGAACACAATTTGAAATTAATGCATGAAAATTATATCTGTGGGTACTTTTAATACTTAATATATTTAATATATTTGTATATTATTAATTAATATATTAATATATTTATATATTATTATTTAATATATTGATATATTTATATATTATTATTATTATTTAATATATTAATATATTTATATTATTTATATTAATTATAATATATTTAATATATTTATATTTAGTATTAATCTCTTGCGCTGGAATGACGTGCCACGCACGTCGAGAATTTTTTGTCCCAAAATTGCAACATTTCCTCAGTTTTAAGTATATTTAAGTATATTTATAACCCAGGCAAAGCAAATAATAAATTTATTACTTCTTAATAATTCCTATCCAGTGATATCACAGCGACGAGTTCAAAAAGAAAGCGACTTATTTTATAGTGAATTATTGTACACACCGTATTATTGTATTATTGTATTTAGCCACTCGTTATGGTCCGCAATCAGTTGCCAGCGCAAATGGTTAATATAAATACTTGATGTCAAGTAACCAAGTTTCACAACGAATTCACACCATTTATGAGACATTGATAATACTAACAATGTAAATACTAAAAATACTAACTATTGTAACACTAATAAATGAAACACTTGCTTCGATAAGAACGTAGCTTTTGCACACTCTGCAAATAAAATCCTACACGATGAATATACTTCTGCATTGCCTGATATACTAACACAAAATCAATTGACGCTTGAACAATGATTTACTTGAAATGTAACAGAAAGTAAATTGTTTTGCTGGTAAACACGTAGAGGAATCGGATATCTAGCGAGTAACGCTATCGGGAAGATTAATAAAGCTCCATTAAGTGGTGGTATTGTTTCTCAGCATCAAGAATGCGAATGCGAGCGCCACACGTGCGGCGAAAGATGTGAAAAATGCTGTCCCATGTACAATCAGATTCCGTGGAAACCTGGCACAGCTGCGAAGGGCTTTCACTGCGAGAAATGCAACTGCAATGGACATGCAACCTCGTGCAGATATGATCAGGATGTGGCCGACAGAAAAATGTCTATGGACATTCGTGGGAAATTTCGTGGCGGTGGCGTCTGCATTAATTGCACAGTAAGCCCGAATTTCTCGAATGAAAAATCATTAAACGAAATTTGTTTCTATATTGTTCATTTGGCTTGCAAACAAGATGATCGATGCTACACGAGCTTTTCTATTTATATATGAATCTTAACGTAGAAAGAATAAATGGAGAATCACTCAGTTTACAGATTTGCTAAGTGTATATTGCACTTTTATTCATTTGTATATAATAATATGTTAAAACATTATGTTCTTCTTTTCTTTACAATGACTTGCTTATTTTATTGCAATTTACAGTTCAGTTATAACTAAGGAAAAGGAATTTGAGATTTTATGATCTTGTAGTATTCATTGAAAAGAGAGGGAAAAGAAAAGTTTGCAATAGAGATTTAATATATTTTCCTTTCGTTTAAGTACAAGACATTTACAGATTATCTATTAACTTTTGTTTCCACTACATATAACGTTTTTATTTGCAACTATAAAACTTGATTCACACTAGCAATTGGATTACAATCAGTCACAATCTAGATTTTCACCAAGGTATTTATATTCGTCAATCAGAACAATCAGAAACAATTTTCATTAATATTCACTTGAGGAATAAACAATGTCATTCTAAAGTATTTTTGAATGAAAATTGCGTTAATATTTGATGTTGTATTACGAACGAAAAGATAATGGTTCTGGGTACGTCGGATATTGCAAAATGTCCAGAAAAAAACAAATTCGAAATTTCTTTCCTCTTTGGTCGACAATTTAATTTTGTGAATAGCAATAAATTGATTGAAAATATTAAATAACAATCAAGTCAAATCTGATCAAAAGTATCGCAATTTCAATTGCTAGCGAACCGATTGTGGTCGTGAATAAATATGATCTAATTGTTAGTATGAATCAGGTTTAAGTTTATTACCTATTTTATTTATCAATATTGGATAATACTTTTAGACAAGTTGACTGTGCATTTTTTAATTCTGCAGAAGTTGATATTTCTTTTAATCCTCTTATCATTGAATATAAGTCCACTATAAGTTTACAAAATCTTAACCTACATTTTTTTAATTAATGTAAACTTAGACTGCTCGAACGACTAAATATTGTAAACTTAAAAATTTGAATTTTTTTTGAAGAAATCTCGATAAATATGAGATACGAAAGCTATAATAATTAAAGCCAAATTTATATTTTCATTTCATGAGCCTCCTAATGATATATAATACAGTGACATCATGCATAAATATTGTAAATTAATATTTTCCTATTTATATAGTTCATAATTACAAATTCATTCAAATTACACATGTACTAATTTCTGTATGTTTGCTATTACGTAATTAATCTTCTTAATCTCTGTTTTAAAATCGGCATCTAATCTACATTATGTTTCTTATAAAGCTTTTGTAATGTTACGTGTCTCCAATGTTTAAATTTCAAAGTTATCAAATATCTAATGTTTAAAACAGAAAACGATCAAGTAGAAAGTAAAAATGTATGTATATTTAAATAGAAAACGTACGTAGAATTTTAAACACTTGTGTTAAATGTTCTTTATAAAATGATTTGTTCCAGGATCATACAACTGGAATCAATTGCGAGAAGTGTCAAGTTGGTTATTACAGACCGAACGGGGTTACCCCTGATGCATTTGAACCTTGCTTGCCATGCGACTGCAACGTGCATGGTAGCACAGGTTACTGTACCCCGGATGATTCCTACGTCCATATAGGAAAGGTAAGCAGGTGTTTATATGAAGTATGCATGACAAATGAGTTCCATATAGAATTTTTTTTAAAAGATTATAATTTCTACAAGATTATATATTATTAAATATATTTAAATATATTTAAATATATCTCTACAAGAATATATATTATTAAATATATTAATATATATTATTATATATTAAATATATTAATATATATTATTATATATTAAATATATTAATATATATTATTATATATTAAATATATTAATATATATTATTATATATTAAATATATTAATATATATTATTATATATTAAATATATTAATATATATTATTATATATTAAATATATTAATATATATTATTAAATATAATAATATATATTAAAATATATTTATATTATATATTATTAAATATACATTATAAGGGATTATATATTTAATAATATATAATCTTTATCTAATCTCATAACATTTTAAGATATATAGATATTCATGCCAAATTGATATAATCCGTCAATTCTAGAGATTTGGAAATAATTCATTACAATAATAATTTGATTGTGGATTTTTGTGCATTTATGGGATTAGAAGTACACAAATGTACACAATACGAAAATGTACATCCAGTAAAATTCAGTTAAAAAATATTAAGAAATTTTTAAATAGGTTCTATCTGAGACATGGATCGTAGAACTTTTCCGAAAAATGTTTTTACATTACAACTTCCAATGAGAACAGATAAATAAACGTACTTGAAAGTAAAAATTTCAGACAGAATAGAATTTGCAAAATACAAAAATAAAAATGTTTCCGTCGAAGGAACAAATAATTTATTCATCAATATTAAAAAAGTTCTCGATATTTGTAGCGGATACTAAAATTGAACTCTTCTTTCTGTAACAATTTTTACAAAAAAATAGGTACTTTTTATACGAAATATATAAGTTTGAATAAAGTTTTTTTTAAAAATGAAAAGAACCTATTAATTTCGATCCCTGACGAAAATTCTATGTATACGAACTTGTTGATGAACAATAGTTTATATATATATATAATAGGAATACATATAACAACTCTACTAATAATTTTTCATTTATATAATTTGAATTTAGGTTTGAATGGTTTTAATTAATAAGTAGTCTAGCCAATATTATTCAATCGGATATTAATTAAAATTTTGTTCAAATAAATGGAGTCCTGCTGTAATACAAAAAAAATAACATATTTAAAATAAATTACAAAATAATTTTCCATCTAGATTCTATTTTTTCAATTATCTTTACAAAAATATAAGTAACATTCGCAGTGCAGTATTTTAATTAAGTTTAATTTGTTAAAAATCTATGTACAGTAAATCATATACTCTGTTGGAATATATTAAACATAAAAAAAGAAGATAAAAATTATCTGATTTGGAAAAAGTGTACAGAGAATTGATAGAACATCAAAATATTGTACACTAATTATCAATCTTTAGTAAATCATTTTAAACACTTACATTTTGAAATATAATACATTAACGATTTCTACCATATATTATATGATGTTTTTCTACATCCTCAATGTTCCAACAGTTTAAAATATCAACAACTTTTTATTCAGTGTACGAATACTTTTTGTTCACTTTTATGCGTACAGTCAAAGAAGTCAAACTAGTTTTTTGATGATATCTTTATGAAAACAAATGATATTAGCAAACTCTGTATCCATAAATAGTTAACTACATACAAAAATAATGTGTACAGTTTTCAATAATGAGTTTATTTTTATTTTCACTTGTTTGTTATAAATTATATTTTTTAATATTTTTTTTAGTTGTATATAACAAAGAACATTCAAAACAATGTAATTGTTTTTTCATAAATTGGGAATTATAGTATTTGTACTTTAATTACTATCTTAAATTTTAAATCATTGTATGCCTGATTTTGGAAGTGTCACGTGGATAATTTATAATTTTTTTAATAACATTAAAAGCAGATCAAACGCTGATTTCTCGTTATATATTTCTTATTGTATAGCTTATTATCGGAAATTGCAAAATAAATACAATTTACTTTGTATATAGTGAACTTTTTGTGAAAACAATAATCATTTGTTTCCCTAAAGATATCACCAAAGAACTAAATGAGCAATACTTTTTTAACCTGAATGTTGATGCCTGAGACGACTTCAATATATCTTATAAAATTATTTTTATCTGTTTAGTTGAGAAACTTATCATTTTAGAAACGAGAACTACATTAGCTTTGATATAAATAAACGATGGTTCGCATCAAGTATCGAGCGTTGTATGTTTAGAGTGAAATTCGGAATCGCTATTTATTAAATATTTCATAATTGTCGAATCAATTTTGATTGAGTATACTCGTTATGTGAAAAAGAGATTTATAATTAAATTAGAGATTTATATTTAAATTAAATTAAATTAAATTTTTTTTACAATTATTAAATTAAAAATTTAATGAAAAGTAAAAAATATCAATAAATTTAAAGTATTTCGAAATATTTTAAAACTATAACGAAATAAAGAAAAGAAACAAGAAAAATAAAGAACATCACTTGAAAAAAGAAACTGTACAAAGTATATTTATTGTGAAATAAAATACATATATTTTTATGATTTTTTGGTAATCTTTATTATTAAAACAAAAATAAGAATAGATTGAATTTCTAAAGTGTCATTTTTTTCGATAAATATTTTTTTATTTTTTTTTTTTTCAGTAAGGTAATTATGAAGTTTTGCCAACAATATCAATGAATTTCATATAATAAAATGAATAAAATTACTGATTTTTCAAAAGAACTAACTACCATATTGTAGTTCATTGAATTTTACAACAGCAGTCGTATTTGAGTATACTCGTGATTTCTTAATTTTAGCTATAAACTGGTTAATCCTCTTATCATTTTTTTAATATATCGTCCACAACTATAAAGCATTGCCCTAGAAACAGAACGTGTAAAAATCTCAGTAAAAAGAGCTAGTAGTTTCTTAGTGAAAATATTCTGTAAAAGTAAGGCATTAAATGGGCAGAAAAATGTTCAAAATAAGAGAAAACTCGCGAAGCCGATATACCGGCGCTTGGGTACTAAAAGGATTAAACACCGATCGTGTTTCAGGTAGCAGGCGCTTGCGATTGCAAACCGGGTTATTCGGGCTACAAGTGTGACCAGTGTGCAGCTGGTTATCGTCAATTCCCCGATTGTATGCCATGTCCGTGCGATTCCCGTGGAATTCTTCCATCTCACGATTGCGAGGGAGACTGTCTTTGCAAGGCGAACGTCGCTGGCGAATTATGCAACGAGTGCAAACCAGGACACTTTGCGTTAACCAAGGAAAATATTGATGGATGCCTTCCGTGCTATTGTTTCGGCGTTAGCGATAGTTGTAGCAGCGCTAAATTGTCTTATTCTACAGTAAGTCGATTATTATTCATATACACGTACATATGTATGTACATATATCGTTTCCTCATAAAGAGAATGACACAACTTAAAGAGGATATGTTTTTCAAGAGAAGCAAAAATTGAACAAAAAAGTATATTTTTCAAGATTTCGTACAAGATTAAATATTATTTTGTTAATTAAAGAAACAATGCAATTCAAAGTAATACTTCTTATTTTATTAATACACATTTGTTTACAACGACAGTTAAAACAAAATTCATGATAAAAGGTATTCGTATATTATATCACGCGAATTAGAAAGAGCAACGTAATTCTACTGGTAAAATTATGAAGATCAATGAATAAGATCTTTATAATTGATGAAGGATTGTCTCTGTAACATTTTTATAGTGATAACTCGAGTTGTATCACTTTCATCGCAGAAGTGCGACATGTAGATAGATATTATTGACATTTATTAAAGTACTATTTAGAATAGAGTAATTAAAAAATTGTACATATTAAAATGCGATATTGAAGAATCCCTATGAACATGAATTATTAATAATAAAGTGTTCAATAGACATAATTATAAAATTTTCAATCACTTAAAAATTTATATTTTATTATTATCTTATCTATATTTGTATTTAAAAAATCTTGTTTTGTCATTAGCAATGAATGATCTCTTTCTGTTATGCATTTCAGATTAAAATAAGGAATTAATTTTCATTTTAAATTTAGAATCTTTTTCTTTTATCAAAAATGTAAAAGATTAATCTATTTGAGTTAGGAAAGGATTATATTAAAATAGAGATTGATGTTAATTTTATATTGACTGAAATTCTTTGTCTTTGTATAAATTTGAATTCTCTATTTAAACACACTTAGACGATAAAGATAAAATATAGAAACACTTTTAGATAGGAGATTACTTAAAAATTCTCGAAGTAAATATGTATTATCATATACTAAATTTCTAATATTGATAATATTAATACACATAAAAAATTAATTAATTAATCGTCTAATTCATTAAAAGATAATTAAAATTAAGGATATTATAGTACTCATTTAATGTAATATTCATTATTATTTACAATTATTTTTCAGCTATTCAGCTATTTATTCTATCAGTATGCAGATATATTTTTATTTTTATTTCTGAAATATTTCTCCAGTATTTTAATAAATGTATATGTAAAATTAATATCGCAATGAATGTAAAATTATAATGAGGTAATAAAATTAACACACATATAAAGAAACGAATTAAATTGAAAATTAATTAATTATTAATAACAATGATAGAACTATAAATCAAATTACAAATGTTTGAAGGAATAAGAAAAAAAATTGAAATAAATAGTTATATTTTGTAAAAGTTGATAGGTGGTCATGGAAGAACGAATATTAATATTATCAGAGGCAAAGCACTTAAGACATATGCTCGAATATAAATTTAATTACAATGCACTGGTGAAAGTAATTAAAATTGTAGGCTTTCGAGTCAACCCCTTCATTTGAACACTCAAGTCATAGCAGAGATCCAAGTTCAGGTTTCAAGATGAACTGGATAAATGGACAATAACTGCATTTATCTACTCACGAGTAAACGACAAGTCTGCAATTACTTTGTCTCACAACAACTCTTCTGCGTCACGTGTATCCAGTAAAACGAGGAGAAATGTAATAGTACGTTGTTATCGTTTTAACGTGAAAGAGGAAAATTAAATCGACCATAGTTTCATAAAGGAACAGCTGTAAATTATACTTCGCACTCCAAACTCAACTGCTAATTTACTAATTTTTCAATTATTCAAGACGCTTGTTTTTTAATCGTTTACACTCTAAAACATGTTACCTTTTGCATTTGCAGAAACATTTTATCATATAAAATTCTACATCTGTTGATATATGCGTACTTACTTTTATCAAGATAAAAACGATTTGAGAAATAGTAGATTACTGAAATTTATTTTGAAATGCTCCAAAATCTTTGATAAAAGATTAATTAAATATATCATTTTTTAGACTTCGATAGGACGCAGTTTCTTTACAACATTATATATTTCATTAAAACAATTTTCACATGACGTCAACTAGATTTATTATATTAGACATATGTATAAAAATTGCCAATCCTAGAATTGAAAAGTTCTTGAAATGGAACTGTCACAGGTCGTTTTTCAATAATTTACGTACTACAAAACTGATTTTAAAGAAATAAGTTAGATGAAATAAAACAGATTTTAATCTGACATTTATGTTTTTAGCAAGTTTTATGACATTCCTCTTCATATAAGAAAAGAATGTTCTAATTATTTATGGTGACCAATAATAAGAATTTTCCTATATATGTGTATAAATTTATATATATGTATAAATTTTATTGACGTTAAATGTACGTGGTTTATAAGTTTAAAACTTGTATTTCTTAATATTGATATTAATTAATGATAGAATAAAATTAGATTCATTCTAACTTCAAATAAACAATATCTACATCCATCTAATAATCATACAGTTATCTTATATTCTCCAATTACTATTTGAATAAATCTCTAAAAGAATTTCGAATTCGAAAGGAATTCAATGCTATACAATACATTCGAAAAATATTACAATAATGGAATAAAAATAAATTTTATTTACATTGATAGGATAAATAACACGAACTAAAAGATAATCTTAAATAATAATGATTATTATATTATATAGAAATATCATGTATAAAATTTATTTTACTAGTAATTTTATCTAAAATAAACGTTATTTAACAAAAATATTATTTTATTCAACATCAAAAATATATTGCAAGTTGAATAGGTAGTAACATTTTATAGAAAGATATGAATGAAAACTGCGATACAATTTACCAAATACTTTAACAATTAACCAAATAAATATGTACTTAATGGCATATTTTTTATAACAATTTTTGTTTAAGATAAAAAGTGTTAAATTGCGACAGACTTTGCAATATTTCATTTAGATATTTCCAATGAAATTAAAAATCATGTGATAAACAATACTTCAGTTAATTTAATCAATGTCTCAAATGAAATCATTCATTTTCGTTAATTAATTTCAGATTTCCTCGATGGAGAATTGGTTAGTAACTGACATGAATGCAACTCGTGCCATTGTTCCTATTTTGGACACGGATAATGGTTGGCTCACGATCGCATCTTTCGATGTCGAATACGACAGTCCTTTCTGGTTAGCCCCGCGAATTTATTGCGGTAATCGACTCTCGTCTTATGGCAGCAATCTTACTTATTCTGTTAGCTGGGTCGTTATGCGCGGTGACACCAGTGGAAAACCGATTACAGGACCTAATGTTATTCTAATAGTAAGTATATTTCTCGCAACCTATTTTTTCTTTCTTTTTTCAATTTCTTACAATTAGATTTTTTTACAAAATCCTCATAATTTTAAATAAATTTAATAATAATGCAGAATAGCGTGCTATAGCTATCATAGGATATTTTATTTATTTTTTAAGTTTGCCATCTCAAATATCTCTATTATTTTTAGAGATATAAACAAATTTTATAAACAAAAGTTATTCGGTACCGAGAGATAGTGTAGTACAATACATAATATAGAAATAATGATTTTCATTTTTTTTAAATAGAATGATATGTTTTTTCATCCAATCAATACTTGACATTCTCTATTAAAAAATATTAATAATAATATTACTAATAATACTATGCTATAATAATAATATAATTAATATAATATAATAATTAATAATATATAAATAATAATTAAGTTAATATATAATAATATTAATAATAATATTATGCATATCGAAAAATTATTAGTTTAAAAGATATTTTAATTTTAATTTCGTAAAATTTATTGTATAAATAACGAGGAAAAACAAGAACAGTATTCTTGTATTTATAATTTTTGTCTTTCCTGCATAGATTTTATAAAATTAAGATAAGAGATATTTAAGGTGACAAATCTGAAATGGATGTGACATTCCATATCATACCAAGTATGAAATCGATTTTAATTATTAAATCTGATTACTAGATTTAATAGTGTGTATCTTCAACATGTTACGATAATTACAGGAAAACTGAAGGGTTTGAAAAAGTCCTAATTTGTAAAAAGTAAAAAATAAAAAGAAAAAAGCCATAAATGGTGGTTATTTAAGGGATGTTGTTTTTCACACATAATACTGAAAAAAGTCTATTAATTATATTTCGAAATAAAATAATAAAAAATTAGAAAAACGTGTTTGTAAAAGTTATTTTTGTTTTATATCTTTCAGTGATCACTTTGTATTTCATTGCCAGATCGTGATGTATTATGTCATTAGAAACAAGGGACGTTTTATGTTGTATGTTTGTAGATTGATATCTGAAAAATTTTTATTGTTTTAGACTGATATCTTTGAAAAATTTCGATATTTGAATTACTATAATCCGTTTCACGAACAAAGGCAATAGAAGTAAACGAATACACACGATAGGAACGTATTCAGAACCTTTAAGTACATTCGGAGTAGGATCGCAAAAGCTTCGAAAACAGTATTCGTATGAAAGATATTTTCGATCTTTGAAATGGGAGAATTGATTTGAAAATAGTTTTCCTTTAATTTTCGATTTGTAGAACAATAAACCTAAGAAATCCTGACAATGATTCATCAGAAACCGCTCACCAATTTCATAAATGATTATCTCACCAGCCAATAGTTGGTACCCACTGTTTCTATTACGCGAATGTTGGTTTCGAGAAAGTTATCTATTTTTATAAATTCACCAGTCGTTAATATTTACATGAATTGTTTATCTATTTATTGGTTACTGTTGACCATACGGACGATCTTACCATACCGGTCATTTGATTGTTTTTGTTTTTTCGGCATCTATTTTTTATCTATGTATGTATATTTTTTATTAGAATTTTCTCTCTTTCTCTGTTTTGATTGATTAATGAGTTTTCACTTATTCTTTATCTTATATTATTTATTCGTCTGTGTATATATACATATATATATATATAACATTTAGTATTTTGTTTTGCAATAAATGTTTTGTTAATTAATCTTTGATTATATTGATTATATTTCTTAGCACAAATAGAAGAACTGTTTTCGTATAAATATATGTGAAAAAGTATATTTAAAATGTAAAGTATCTCGCCATATCATGTTGATACAAAGAAATATATCGATGATAAGAATTATTAGTGTAATATACGAAGTATACAAAAAATAATTTTGTTATAAAGTAGATAATTATATTTATTAGATAAATAAATATTTCATTATATAAATATAACATTCAAGTATATTATATAATATTCTGTAACAATTCAAATTTGGTTATATTAACTTTTTTTTTAATATAATTATTCTCGACAGTACATTCACTACTTGCTAATAAAAAATCATGTCTTGTTCGTATTTGTAAAATATAAATTAGCAAAATATTTGCCAAATATTATTTAAATCGCATTTAATATTTATTTATACAATATTATTTAATTTATAATATTTATTAACACGTCAATATTTATTTTTACAATATTATTTAATTTATAATATTTATTAACATGTCAATATTTATTTATACAATATTATTTAATTTATAATATTTATTAACACGTCATTGAACGATATTTCTATTCCTATGAATATTTTAGAATGATTAAGTATGAATATCGATGATTTCATCATCGACGAAAGTTTTAAATATCATAAATAACTAGATCATATATTATTAAATGAATCGTGTGCTTTCATTTCACTTTTATATTGCAATTTTATAGAAATTAAATATTTCATTTGATAGGTAAAATATATAAATATCATGTGATGAACAATATGTTAATAAATGTTTGTAAGGTATCTATTATCGAGACTGTTGGACCATGCTTAGTGGTTCTCAATCTTTTTTCTCTCGCGAAATACTTTTACGTGCTTCAAAAATTTCAATAATCCAAACATAAAATAATCATGTTATATGTTATTAATAAAAAATATATTCATATATATACATAGTACTATTAGTAATAATTACATTTATTTAACAATAATGACAAGTTATATCTTTTTTTATTTTAATGAGAAATTTGGCGACACATTAATCATGTCACGGCACATTGTTAAAAATCGCTGTTCTAACGTATGATAATCGCGCCACCTGTTGTAAAGCAAAGACAATGTAGTGAGTTTAAATTTGCTGCTCGTCACTTTCCTCCTTCTTCTCTTTATAACTGCCGAACGAAATACACTTGTGATGGAACAGCATGAGTTATTATGAGTGAGTTGTTAAAGTGAACTATTTTATATCCTTTCTTCTTCGGTACTAATAGAGATTGCCAACATTCATTTTCCTAAATAATTCTTTAAAATACAAATGGTTATTTATTTATGTATATTTATATAATTGCAGATTTTTACGTACATAAAGAAATGAAACTTAAATATATCTATCACTTTAGATATTTTATGTTTTCGTCTATCACATGCATTCTGTGGGTTTTTTCAACTTCCAATTTTTCATGAATATACAAAAATTTGCAATCCACTTGTCAGACCACTCCTACGTCCTTTATAGGTTATTCGTTTCCCCACCGAGAGATAGATCGCGACGTTTAACATTTTTTTCTTTGTTTTTAAATTAATCTTCTTGTCTCGTTTCTTCACAGGGTAATAATGGTATGCGAATAGCTTACGGCGAAGAACAATATAATGGCCAGGAAGCCGAAATCACCGTGCCTCTACGCGAAAACGGCTGGTACCATGTACGCAGTGAGATTCAAGATATACCTACCAGGTTAAGAAGAACCGAATTTCGTGGAGATGCTGTTACCAGGACACAGATGGTGAAAGTTCTCGCGGATTTGAAATATCTCATGATAAGGGCACAATATCATTCCGAGCAAATCGAGGGCAGGTATGTGAACCAATTAGAAATTCAAGTAAAATAAAATTGCATATTGTGAATTTTTATTCGAATTCATATTTTTGAAAATATAATTTAGAAAATAGGATTTTGATAGAAAATTATTTTATGCATACAGATAGAATATTACTTTTTAGAGAATGTTACCAATTGCTATAAAATATTATTAATATTGTAGAATTGAATTATGTACATACAAAGCACTATACTTTGCAGGTGATAAATATTTTCTTATATTAATATAAATTTTTGTAAGATGCTTTGTTTTAGAGAAAATCGACTTTGAAAATTTATCAAGTGCACGAAAGATAAGTTTTAACCGAACGTATTCAAAGTCTATTTTCTTGAAAATTAAGATTTAAATAAAAAAATTTGCTATATTTTTTATTTATTTTCAAACGTAAAATAACTTTCTCTTAATTATTCCTTTTTGTCGTGTCTAGAATTCAAATAGCTCAATTCAATTCATATATTTAATAAATATTTTTCAAACTCGATTTTATATTTATAACTCTCTATTATATTCTATACTTTTTACTCATTTTTTCATAAAAAAATGTAACATTCGGCCGTATGTTGTGTGAGAGAATGTATAATAAATTAATATAGATTTATATTGGTCGTTTAATGAAGTTAAATATGAACTAAAATTTTAAAATTTGTTCAATTCGAATTCGGCTTATCATTATGTTAACTGTAAATAGTATACCAATGCTTAAACTGGATTACTTTTTAATCATTTAGATTAATTTAACTCTTTCTTTTCGATAATGAATGCAGTTATATAATAATTCTTATTATAATATATTCGCCTGTAAAAAAGAATTCAAGAATTAAAGATCCAAAATATTTTTAAAAATATATCATCTTGTCAGTCTATATTGAGATTATATGAAAATTAATTATATTAATAATTATATAATTATATTATTTTACATATTATAATGTAATAATATACCTATATACATACATTATATATATATACACTTACATATACATATGTCTATGTGTAAAAAAAGATAATAATTACTAGTATATTAAAAAAAGATGTTAATATAAAAACATTCTGATAAAATAATATGTTGATAATACACAAGAGGAATAAGAAAAACACACGTAATAAAATAAAAATATATAAAAAGAATGAAAAAATAATTAATTATAATCCTAGTTATTGGTAAAGTGTAAAACATTTAATACGAAGCCGTATTCTACAGTCAGTATTACATTTTATTCTATTCTATTTTATTGATAAAAGCAAATATCTAATTAATTGAAAATATAGATGTACATTTCAAACATACATTACGTAAAAAATCTAATATTACGACAAGACGTATATTCTAGATCAAAAATGCTTAACTCTAAGATCGTTGCAGTGGAGGGGATAGCGCTAGCGAGAGTAGGAGCAAGGGCTCGTCGACCAGTAAAGCATCTCTATTCTAGGTGATACGAATGTCATAAACATAAACTGACTTCAGGAGTTTAGCAAGCATATAAACTGTTACAGTTGCTACGTCGTGTCGTTAGGACGTATCGTTTCGAAACAAAGTAAATAAAACATTTTCGTAAAGTTCTGAGAACGTTCATTTTTTATTTTAATGTTTTGACTCATTGTCCAGCTAGGAGAATAACATACAGTCGAGCAAAAAATGATTGCCACATTTTTTTTGATCCACTGTACATAATACAAGTTTCATTTGAAGTTCAAAAATGTATATACATATATTGTATTTATATATTAAAATTAATTTATTTACTTAATGTTAGATATTTAATATAATATATATTATATACTATAATAATTTATAATTATAATTGTAATTTGTAATTTCTTTATAATTGATATATATTTAATATTATTTGTATAATATATGTATCTATTTTTGAACATTTAAAGTAAGACAACAATTAATACAGAATTGAAACTTTTATATAATCTTGTTGGATAGTAAATAACACCGGGTGATATAGATACGAGCGACACTACTGGAAAAGATGTACCGTGCGTGGCGCTTTCGTCTCATTGTCAGTAGTATTACCGAAACCGACAAGAGAGAGACACGTGCGAATTGTATATTGTAACCTAATATCTATTAATTATATTATAAGACATATAGAATATATATATTAAACTAGTTATATAAAACTACTTTCGGTGAATTCCATGGCATCCTAATTCGCCACAAACTTAAACATTTATTTAATATTTTATATTCAAATTCCGAGGGAATATCAGGAAACTTTGAAAATAACACATACGATATATAAAATATTCATATTCTATAATTGTTAACCTTTTTCTAAACAATTCGATCTTAAATCACAAAATAACATATTTGCAGGAAACCAAATAAATTTTGCACTATTTACTTTATACATGAACAATATTATTACGCAGAAGAAATTTTACAAATTTGATCAATCAATGGCATTTGTTGAATTCGAAGATTAATTATATTTTTTGTGTTTCAGCTTACACTCGGCAATTATATCAGTCGGAGAAATTTCATCCAATGGCGAGAGTAACAATTTGGTAGAGACATGTGAATGCCCCGAAGGATACACAGGACTTTCTTGCGAAAATTGTGCATGGGGCTACGTAAAATTGATCAAAAATGGGTCTGATCATCAGGATCATCACGTATGCGTGAAATGTGATTGTAACGGACACGCGAGTACTTGTGATCTCGTTCTTGGAGAATGCACAGTGAGTATTTTTGTATTTATTTTATAATTTATTGAAAAATCAATTATAATGAAGCACATTCATAAGAGAAATTTCTCATTTTTTGTCTAACTTTAGATATAATATAATAAAATATATAAATATGCAAGTAGAATTTGAAGTCTAATTTAAAATAAGAAACATAATTGAAAGATTTATGTAATATTATAATACATAAAAGATTATTTATCCTTCTAATAACAATTATTTGTGATGAATTTAGTTGGAGAAAAATATATACACGATTGATAATAAATTAACTAATTATGTAGAAATTAAAATTTATTCGATTTTAACATAAGAATCAGTATCTAAATTAATCTTTTTTTCATGGATAGATTAATCTTTTTTTATAATATTTTTTTTATATTTTTTATACATTCCCGGTAACTTTACCAAATAAGTCAAAGGACTTACATTTAATTCTATAATTAAGAAGTGCAATTGTAAATAAAACGGTATCAATAAAAAGCAGGTAGATTAATTTATTCATTAACATTCGATAATTTCAAATAAAAGATATGATAAAAATAAATTCAGAAGTATAGACATTGACCTAAGTTCGTTTATGTAGATCTCTTCTTTACCTTCAATGCAATAACCGTCTAATGGTAGTGAAGAAAGTGTATGGTAAATCTAAAGATTTATCGCAAGAGAAAAGATGTTATCTTTATCAACTATCAGTATCCAAAATATTAATTACTAAATTAATTTATTAATTTTTTCACAAGTTTTTAATTAACAATGAATTTAATCTAGTTTTTAATTAATTAAATTTGATATTTATTTAATATTTAATATTTATTTAAATTTAATATTTAATTTTTAATTAACGATTTAAAACAAGTGCGAGTTATTAAATATTTTGCTTTTCTTAATTTATTTATTTAAGTATTACTTAGTTGATAATTAAGGTATCATAAACTAACAATAATGTAAAATTTTATTAAAATAACTTTTATTAAAATTTATGTTATTATTAATAATAAAAATAATCTCTCTTCTGTTATTATGACATGTATTTATTTAAAACTTAATATTTTTTGTTCAATAGATCTGTGAGCATAATACAGTAGGCCCCAAATGTGATCGTTGCGCACCGGGTTTTTACGGTATCGCTCTCAAAGGCACACCAACTGATTGCAAAAGATGTGCCTGTCCACTTTTAATCGAGTCCAATAATTTTAGCCCAAATTGTCAACTGGATGATCCTACTGACATTGACAGTGGATATGTATGTACACAATGTCCAAAAGGCTACACTGGCGACCACTGTGAAAAGTAAGTAAATAAATAATAGGAAAAGGATACAAAATATAATAAGACAGATGTAATGAAATCTGATGTAAAAACACAGCAAATATATATATATCTTATAACAATTAATAGACGTGTTCATAAAAATATATCATTGAAAAAGATCGCAGTCTAATTCTTCTGAATTAAAAAATAAATTAGATACTTGCACAGTTTAATCGAAATGTTCTATTGATTTCACATAATTTAACAGTCTGAAGTTCAATACAAATTATTTAACATATTGGAATAGTTTTTTATAATTTTATAATTTCAACAACTTTGAAGTTTTAATAAAACTTTCTCAATTTCCATTAATAGTATGAAACTTAGAATGTTGCATACTGTTGTGACTGTTTTCTAAAAATTTTATTTATAAAACTTCATCAATACTACTCCCATTTGAATCAGATTAGATTCAATAATATATTTTCTTTTCTACGAATTTAGAAGCAAATTTTCTATCAGATTTTTCTTTTCTTAAAGAAATTCTAGAGATATTTTAGTGTTCAATAATTGAAGAGAAGTACATATTTACAAATATTTACAAATATCATTACATTTTTACTAAAGTATATTTATTGTGCAAGTGTGAAATAATTCTATTTCTTCTACTCAAATGATTTTGTCACTATCATTTAAAGAGTAGTATTAATAAAATTTTATAAAATTATAAAATTTTTTTTAAAATTACATTAAAATACACAACAAAATTTTAAACACATTACACATTAAAAACATTAAAATGTTTTAATGTAAAATTAATTAACATGAAATAGAAATGATAATAAAATTCAAATTTATTTCGAAAGCTGCGACGTAGGATTCTTTGGAAACCCTCTGGTACCCGGTGGTACGTGCGAGCCATGCTTTTGCGGCGGCGGCCCCTGCGATCAACAAACAGGGCGCTGCCTGGAGTGTCGCGGTAACACGGAAGGCTGGAAATGCGACAAATGTAAACCAGCTCATTACGGAAATCCTTTAGAACAGAACTGCTTGCGTGAGTATCATCTGTTACTTCTGGTTCGTTATTTCACCGACATTAGCACGCGATATCTCGTGGATATCGAACATTCTTTAAATCTTACATTTAATCATTAAATGTTCTCCAACATTTTACGTAACTTGCAACACGTATATTTAATAAGGAAGATCGTTGCTCAACTTTAAATAGCGTTCCTAATTATTAGAAATTGAATATGTTAAATATGTTAATGGTACTAATACAAGTTGAATGTTCAATGAGTCGATTGTAGATATTTATGTATTTTTATGAATGAAATATTATAACAAGAACTATTAAATATTGTAATAAGCTGTACTCATATATATTTTTAAATATTATATGTATTTTCTAGTTTTTTGGAATTTTAAATTGCCCAAAAATGTATAAACATCCGCAGTCTATCTATATGTTATTCACTGAGCTTAAATTAGAATTCTTCAATTTTATTGACTTCAATAAAATAATCAGCTTTTAATGTAATATAATTTAATAATATACATATAATTAATAATAATATAAAAAAGATTATATTAAAATGGATCAGGACAATTTATTAGAACTTGTATTATTATTTTTGTTACATATTTAAAATTTCAGTCTTTCATATTTTAACATATTTTTAAAAATAAACTATAGTGGTACTGAAAAATTATTAGAGTATCCAAATAAATGAATTTTTATTAAACACATATAAAAATATAGAATTGATATTTCCTCGACTATTCGTTTTATAATTATAGGATTGTGAAAATATAATTTCTTTTTTGCACAGTGCATATGTTTACAATATTTTAGCATTTTGTATAAAATTCTTCATTATAATATACTATATTTTTTTTATTGTTCTCTATATTACGCAGATATTCTCTATATTATATTTATTGAAATATATTTGTATACAATTTATCTTAAACGTAATTTTAAATATAATTATTTATAGTATAAATATTTCTATTATTTTAATTCTTATTTATCATGACATAGGTAATATTCGTATTACATGAATCGAAATCATCGTCTAGAAATTTTTTTTTACAAACCGCATTATTTTGTTTGAGTTTCATCAATTCTTATTATTCATTTCTATAATTTCTATAATATTCATTTCAAAAATATTCTATCGAAAGTTAAAGATAAAAAAGATTTTATTTTTTACAATTCTTTCCTCTTTCTCGCATTATTGCTGCAGATATAATTTGAATTTTCATTATGTGGGTATAATAATCTATGTATCACTAATATAATATTATGGAGAAACCATTGTCTTAACATTATAAATTATAATATTAACAAAATAAATTATAATATATACCCTCATGCATCGTATGATCTTGCTATTATATTCATATTTTTTTATTCATATAAAAAATTACAGTGGAAAGTTTTTGTTTATTTTTATGATAAACTAAATAGCAAAATATAGTAGGCAAAAATATATCAATAAAAGCTTTCCTGGGTAAAATCATGCTGGTTGAACATATTCTAACTCTCAGAAAAATGTTATATGCAATATGTATATAATGATGACTTATCGTATATATACAAGAAGAATCTGCTCACCTTGATTTTACTAAAGATAATCAATTGTAGTTTGTATATTTTTATATGTCGAGATTCACTTTTAAGGACAGTAAGTTTTTGAAACAATGTTTCATTCGCTTTCAATGCATAATTAAAATTTCAAAGCATAAATATTGGAAATATTAATTTAATAATAAATCAATATATAATTAAAGTTAGAAAGCTTAACTTTTTAAGCTTACACGCACGTCAACGTAGCTGCATTAATTGTGACGATTGTAAAATCTTTGTAAACAAGTGAACAAGTATTCTTATTTTTTGGGAACTTCTGATCTATTTTTATCAATTTTCCTATACGAATCGCCATTCCATAAGATTCTATGCTCTTGAACGGGGAATCTGAACTGGAAAATCTCATGTTTGCAGCTTGCAACTGCGATCCTCTGGGCAGCAGTTCCACCGAGTGCGATGAGAAGAGCGGTCAGTGTCCTTGCAAGCCTTTGTTCGAGGGTCGTGACTGCTCCTCTTGCATCGAAGGTTACGGGAACGTGACTGCAGGTTGCCGGGAATGCGACTGCGACGTGGGTGCCCTCGACGAGGTCTGCGATCCCGTAACTGGTGAATGCAGGTGCGCGGAAGGTGCCCTTGGCTTCCGGTGTGATCACTGTGACATCGACCATTACGGATTATCCGCGGAAGGCTGCACAGGTGAGTACTGTTTCTAATATTTTTCTGCATGGAGGTGATTTTATTGTCGTATAATGATAACTTAATATGGAGGTGTATAAGGTAAGTGATGGTTCAAAACTAGAAGCAATTTGTGTATAAATCTATTTATCAACGAAATGAAAGGTAATCTGAGAAATTAAATTTAATATTTCAATGAGAAACCTTGCTATTTAATGTTTATTTGATTCGGTAGTATTGTTTATACAGAATTGCGTTTTAAAAAATTTACAATTATAACAAATTATTCCTTGATTCTTTAAAATCAAAATTTTATTTATTTACGTAAGAAAAATTTTGAGCTTGTTATTATTGGGATTTCTTTCAGCCTTAAGGTAGAATTGATGAATCTTTATTTCAGCCTATCGGCCTAGAAATAGACCTCAGTACTTACATTATTCTTTACATTTCGTTTTAATTCCCTTTTAAATTCTATTTACGGTAGAATTTAAGAATATAAACTGGTTAAAAAGAACTAGAAATTAAATTTTGTATTACACACAAATATATATATTAGTGACGAATCAGTTTTTCCAATCATAATATAAAATTGCATAATAATATAAAGCGAGAAATATTCGTACAAAAATCTTCCAACTGCCAACATTGAATGATTCATACCTTTCTGTAAATTTCAAATTTGTTATCACTGAGAATACTTAATTAATTATTCTTAATTATTTTAAAGTAAATATTTTTAAATTTATATTGTAAAATATATTAGTAAATATATATATTATAAATATATTAGTATGTTATATAAATATATTAGTATATTATAATATATATTATAAATATATTAGTAAATATATATGTATATTATAAATATATTAGTATGAATATATTTGTGTGTTACTGTACACACTGTCTATTAACTGTATGTTTGTCCTAAAAGTGTTTATTCTAAAATTTAAAAATTCCAAAATTTCTAAAATTTCTACTTCTAAAACTTCCAAAATTTTAAAAAAAATTATCAAAATTTCAAAATTTTACAAAATGGTCGCGAATCTTTGCTTTCACGTCGGCCATCGTCAAAATGTTAAATCGTCGTCAGAAACTTGTCTTCATCCAGCTGAATCTCTTGGCCTGCGCTACTGCGCTTGCAGAAATCGTGTAGCGTAACGTAGCACGCGCAACAGGTAGCGAGAGAAACGAAGCGTAGGTTACCGATGGTTGGAAGCATCGTGGTTTCGTTGCTGTGGAACGCGAGCAAGAGTAATGCATAACGCCCGTGCTTGTTTCAACTAAGCCGCGGATGTTTATCTCGAAGCTCCCTTAAGTACGGGGTACTTATCCAGCACGGACAGCAGTCATGAGTCGAGGATGTTACTTGAGATTTACAAGAGTCGAACCACCCTTGCCCGTGGAACTGCTTCTGACATGTAATCTGTTTAGCTTAGTTTTAATTTACGATCACGATTTCCGTGCACCATCGTTTCATCTTGCACGTTTTTCACCAGTTACTATCTCGTGTTTGGAATTCTTTGTTAAAGAAGAAAAATGGTGTGGTTGCACAGTTTTGGATATATTTTATTTTACAGGGATATATATTTATTATAGATTTGAGATAAAAATAGATGTCCGGTTCATTCTGTCTTTTTTCCAAATTTTATAACGATATTCAAGATATTATATAACGATAAGTATATTTAAGATATAATATAAGAAATTATATAACGTATAAGAATTTATATAACGATACGTATAAGAAATTATATAACGATACGTATATTTAAGATATAAACAACAATAAATAACGCGTTCTAAATTAATAATATTCGTATACTGTATTTCATTTATCAAATGAAAATAAAAATACGAAATCTAAATGAAAGACAAGATAGTGAGTGTATCCTTGGAACTTCTTTTCATAGTTCCAATATTAAAAAAACAGATTTTGATCATTTTGATCTAAATAATTGCAAATAAAACGTCGCGTAATTACAATTTAATAGCTTAATATTCTATATAAAATAAAATATTTACAATCTTTCAATATTCTCCCCAGTGTCTGAAACATAAAACAGAAAGAATTTATTGTTTCGTATTGCCGCAACTTACCTACAGCAAGAAAGTGCGAAATCGAATCTTTATTTACGATTAATTAAACAGCGGTCAAGATATCATATTTCACAACTATGTCGAGATATGGTGTACCATATGTGAATTTCTAGCTTGCTTCAAGTCATTCCACTCGATCCACGAGTTGTCTGAAATGTTAATTGCTTTCATACGACCACAATGGTATATTTGGTAATTTCATTCTTTCTCGCGTAGTATGCGTTAATCTAAACTGTTTTATTCTAATGTTTTTAATTGCGTTGTTCCATATAGAAAATGCCTGAATTTCATTCAGTGTTTATTGTCGAATAATTTGAATTCCTTGCCAGTTCTTCAATTCAATCGATTGATCAATTGTTATTACATCGTTTTTTAATATTTATAATATCATTAAATTCTAAAACGAGACTGTGTCTAAATTGGTCTAGACTGGTTAAAAAGAACTAGAAATTAAATTTATTACTATATATATATATATATATATATATATATATATATATCTTGCTGAACCAGTTTATATTCTTAAATTTTACTTTTTAATATTAAGACAATGAAAAAAAAATTGAATATATATATATATATATATATATATATATATACACATTGAATATATATATATATATATATATATATATATATATATACACACATATATCAGGTTCTGTGACTGGAAAAATTTATTCGGCAAATAAATATATATAAAATGTAGGAAATATATATATATATATTATATATTATATATTATATATATATATTTGTTTCTATATATTATATATATATTTCTTATATTTTATATATATCTATTTGCCGAATCAATTTTTCCAGTCATAATATAAAATTGCATAATAATATAAAGCAAGAAATATTTGTACAAAAATCCTTCAACTGTCAACATTGAATGATTCATATCTTTCTATAGTAAGTTTCAAATTTGTTATCACTGAGAATACTAATTAATTATCCTTAATTATTTTAAAGTAAATATTATAATATATATTTAGTTTATATTGTAAAACAACACTGATGTCTTTCAGTGTCATTAAAAAAAGAACCTGTTTCGCTACTAGAACTTAATATTTAGGAAAAAAGTAAAATTATGTAAAATGAAAAAATTTACTTCAACTTACGTTCAACTTCAATCATTTCGTCATTTGTTTTCTTTGAAAAGAAAGAATTTTCTTTGATTTTTAATTTTCGAAAAAGTTTCGGATCAATATAAATAGAAATTATTATCATAAATAGAAATTTTATATTTTACACGTTATAATTTATTCATTAAAAGTCAAATAAAGCTGAATAACAATGAGGAATGAATTTATTAAAAGATCGCATTCTAAAGAACTTATGTTTGTATTTTATAATAGGTAATATTTATTATAATTCATTTTCTTTAATATGTGTATCACATTTTTGAACAACTATCGTTTTTTAGTCTTTAGTATAGTTTTCTTCTGTATAGAAGACTTTGGTGTAGTTTTCTTAAATTATTTTCAAAATTGAGGTTGTAGAATCTATTTTGGCAAATATCTTGGGAATTATTGAAGATATAGCTATTGTGTAAATTGATGAAATTAGTATTTTTTAACGACAAATTTAATGATGAACATCATTTTGCAAAAAGTTATTTGTCTAAACATTGTAATTTTTTTGGTTTTTCCAGATAAATGTTAATACATTTTCTTGAATATTTGCCTATGAAAATTATATGTTCAAACACAAATTACGGATCAATTGGAATCTTAATTTTTGCACTACAAAAAAACTTAAAATTATAATCAAAATTATATTCAAAACTTTTTCACCGGATGTAGAAAACAGGTTGTATACTTGAATTGTTCTTTGTTCATAAATATGTAGTGTTTCTGAAAAAAAACTGATTTTCTTCTTAGACACTTATCACTGCTTTTAAATAAAGAGACACAATTAATCATTCAATATAAATGTCACTTCACAGTAGAAGAAGTGATTGAAACATAGATGTTTCTTATGAGCATTTTAAGGCAACAACTTCATCACGATCAAAACAGTTTATAATCTCAAATTACAAATTTATGAAACAAAACTTTACTATAATTTTCGAATTATTGTAACCACATATAAATTCATTTTGTTTTTACTTTTAAATGTACGGGACGTGTTTCTCTGACTTTGGTCTTATAGTCAAATCCAAAAAAGAACAAATGTCATAAACGTGATGCGAGGGACGTATTCCTGGATAGTACCAAGGTAATTGCGAAATTATTATTTTATAGGAAAATTGCCCAACGGTACATTTTGGTCGAAAATAATCTTATATCTTGACCGCTTGTCTAAGGGTCTACTTGTGCAGTAGTTCTATCCGTACCTTTTCTCGTCCATCGACATACATATATCAATGAGTCAAGAAGTAGTGAAGAATAGTCCGGTTCGGTTTTAGAGCGTATTTCTGTACTCTTACGAATACATCTGGGACGTCCGCTGCTTCATCGACACACTCGCAACGATTACCCTTATCACGTACTCCCAAATAAAGATTTGTAATAATTTAGAGAAGGATAGGAACATTTTTTTAAATGTTTTATTTAACAAGAAATTAAACGAAAAATTTCTATAGAAATACAATGTTTGACTTTTTGTTATCGCGAGACAAGATCGGTAATTCCTTGCCATATAAAATCAAACCCATAGATGCAATAAAATGCAAAATATAGTAAAGGGAGAATGGACATTTTTTTAAATGTTTTATTTAAGAAATTAAACGAAAAATGGGCATTTCTATAGAAATACAATGTTATCGCGAGACAAGATCGGTAATTCCTTGCCATATAAAATCAAACCCATAGATGCAATAAAATGCAAAATATAGTAAAGGGAGAATGGACATTTTTTTAAATGTTTTATTTAAGAAATTAAACGAAAAATGGGCATTTCTATAGAAATAC